GACGGTTGGCTCGAGTCTGTTGAATAATTTATTATGGAAAACAAGTAACTCACTGAAAATTCGGAGCAGCGTAATGCCACCTGAATCGAATTTTCCTACGTTGCAAATCAAAATGTTAGTAAACGATGTCTACTTACCACCGAAAGATAAGATTGACTTTTGATCATTACGGTTAAGCAAATACACTTCATGAAATGTAGCTAGCTGCGTCTATGCATCAAAAGGGTAATGTGGACTTCGATTATTCATTAACAGCTAGTTTTTTGACGGACGGAGACACTATGGCAACCGTTTATTATTTTACCGTTATCTATCAGTAGGTAACCATGTTGCGATGTAATTTCTAGGTCATCGTTGAACGACATCCGAATTCGAAAATTGCTGATTTGGATAAGCATAAATTTCTGGTTCCTGATGATATAACGGTCGCACAATTCATGTGGATTATACGGAAACGCATTGACCTGACTTCGGAAAAGGCCCTATTTTTGTTTGTTGGGGATGTCATGCCTCAGACAAGGTGAGCACTTTCTCCGTTTTTAATTTTTAATCGATGTAGATTGTATTTGTTGAAGTTGTTTCCTGTCACCAAGTCAGCGTCAAAAGGGCTTGTTTTTCATTCTATTTTAAGTATATCAGTGGATGTCTGAGTCCTTTGCCCTATTCTCTTTTTTCATCATTGCCCTCCTCTGATCTGGTTAACTAATTTCTACCGTGCGATCTTCCTTGACTTACGAAACTGCATGTTCATTCAGCCAATATCATAACTATGCTGCGGCTATTTTGAGATCTAGGGCTTTAACTTATTATGCTTAAGAGGCTGTTAATATCGGCACCTATTATTGTAAGGTAGGAAGATCAGTTTTCCCCTGGCTTTTCATCGTAGCTTACTCATTTTTTTTTCAAAATATGCCCGACTTACAGTTAATTTACGACTTTGTGCAATGTTGATCACCTTACCTGCCCTATTGCAGGCGTCTGTTTTTCTGTTCGCTAATATGCGATCTGATCATACAGAATTGGGTTAGCATAGCTTAATGTTCGCAGGTAGTTTTTAACAAGTAAGAGTTGTTTTGCAAGCCGGTAAGCAGGATGTCATCGTTCCTGTTTTGTGGCTTGTACTGTCTGTCCTAAATTTTCAGCACATTCATAAATATTATATGTTCACAACTGTTACACGTAAAACATACATATGTCAGCTGTTCTCCGAGCTTTCTACAGAAACTTAGAAAATTAAATAGTTCACACATTCATTCATCCGGCAACGTAGCACTAGACCACTTCTTTCAAACCCGGCCGTTGCAGGAATAGGGTTTGGCATTGCTATTTGACGACCGCTAATAAGCCAGAAATAACCATTCCAGTCTCCCTGGTCTCTGTTAGTAATGTTATTCTATCTTTATTTACTTGTACGTGTTACTTAAACGTAAAGTAATGGTGCGAGTTGGTCGAACAGGAGTATACTGTCGTTTTAAGTGGTCGAAAGCATCAAGTTAATAATATAGGTAGTTGTCTTTTGCATGCCTTACCAGAGTTCGGCTAATAAGGTCTTAAATTAAGCTCAGTAAATGTGTTGCCTAATTCATTGGTGATTCCGTCTATTACTGACGCTTTAACTGACCGGGTGGATTTGTTGCCCTCGAGTATGTGCCTTGAGTTGACGATGACACTAACTGGTTTGATCTGTTTCTATAAAATAACGTCGAGCACGAGCGTCTGAAAGCACTGCCAGAACTAGTGCTGTTTGAACATCTTTTTATGTGCGTCGATCGATAATTTCGCACAGCTGCTAAACATTCTAATCTTTTTCCATCAGTGCTCACGGTTGCTCGTTCGCAACCCCCAATGTTCCTCTTTGGTGGCAGGTTTAAGCACAAAAATGAAACGATTTGTTTTTACTAAGACTGGAGTTAGGTAGAGGCGTTGGCGAAATCACCTGAAAAGTGACAGGTTATCGTTGCACGCTACCCAAGCATAACCGATTTACAAGTGACGGGCTCCACATCTCAGAGAGCCTACGTTATAAAAACAATAAGGTTTTTTGCAGCGGCTATATTAGGCGAACTGAACGACCAAGTATACACAATTGCAAAAGCTGCAATGGAAGTCTTCACTTCACTCTCACCACCTTTTCGACGTTACTGGTGGAAGTTCGTTCAGACTGCCCTGAACCAACGCTGTCAGAATATTTCTCAGGCCTTCGTGTGGTATTAACGCCGTTTTTGAGACCTAGTCGGGCGGCCCTACCTTGTACTTTTCGATAACTGAATTGTAGACCTACGTATCGAAACCCTAACATCGCGTGGTTCATCAACGTCTTTTTGTGGTCTACAGACTACGATTTAAGTGACCTTTACTTTTAAATGAGGAAGAAATTGGCTAGCTTCTCCGTTGGCATGTACCTCTGGACTTGCACTCTCAATCAACCACGGCCCTTCTATTTCGACTACTACCACGACCATCTTCCAACTTCTGTGCCAATAATTTGGTCAATTG